TATGTAAATATTTTATTCCTAAATAATCATTGTTTAATACTGTAAGACTGTGGAACATGAAAACTAGAGTATAAATGTACTGTAACTGTACAAATGTAACTTTAGGCTTTGATAACTTAAGAATATGGACTGCGGTTTCTAGAGAAGCCTTCAAAGGAATACGCATGAAGATTATAACTCCTAAACTGGCAGAGAGGGAATAACTGAAAGACAAAAAAGTCAATTTTAAATAAAAGTCAAGAAAAGAAGAAACACAGAAGAGGCTGCATAATTAGGAGCTAGCCAATCATTTCATAGCTTCAGTCAATACAACGGGGCACAATTCCTCTCCTCATTGCTTACGTGTCTGAAATGCCAACCCCTCTAGGAAATATGTGAAAAATAGTGATATAGGAACCTTTGTGGTAGGTGAGCATGTATGAAAATTATGAATATGTGTACACATTATGGGAGGAACACTTAAGGAAGCTAATTCTGAAAAGATAGAACAGGAAAATCAGACCCACATCCTGTTACACCACTCCACCCAACTGTTTATTACTGACAGTAACATCAATGATCTTGGAAATGATTTTCATAAAATGACCCCATTTCTGTACTATGGAGAAGCAAAAGGATGGAAAACAAAACAAAGAGAAGGCAGGAGACACTACACTTTTTACTCCATTGTCTGTCTCCTGCCTTCCCTTTGTTTTGTTTTCCATCTTTTCGCCGCTCCATATTGCCTTCTTTGTGATTTCTTTTGATTTATCTCCCACTTAATGAATTCTCTCTTTAACTGATGGATCAGCCATGAAGTCCATCCGTCCAGCTTTAGACATTTCTGTAATATAGTATGGTGTGATATAGCTTGAAAATTTTTTTAGATAAAGTTAGTGGGAAAGTGGAGACTATAAAATAAGAAGGATTCCAGGAGGACTGCTGATAATCATTAGAATTAAGTGAAATGGTATTTGTGGGGTGAACCCCAAAAAGGCAGATCAAAGGTCAAGATAAAGGCAGAAAACAGTGGTGAGGCAGCATGGACAACTTTTTCTATCATTTCCTTCCGTGTGAGCTTTGAATAATGTGGGCTACTTATTTTCAAACTTGTAAAGGTCAACTAAAAAATACTTTCTGTAGTAAAACAATGCAAGCCATTGCTAACGTAAATAATATTTTCTAAAGTCTCATATGAAATGCCTGCTTTTACATAACACATTTATTTTAAATATAGTGACATGTAATTCTAAATTGCATGAATTTCAAAGATGATGGGATTATCATGGTTCAAATAAATTCTGTGTTCCAAGTATGGTCACACAGCTAATTGGTGGTAAAAGTCACTGAATTTTGCTCTTATCAAATAAAATGCTCCTCTACTAGAGTCTTAAAAATAGCTATGTATTAAAGATTTGGGAATAATAAGGACTGAAAGAAGACACTCTTCTTCCTATCACAGTCTTGAAAGTGAGAGCTACACTGAAAATGTTATCATGGAGAGAGAATAAAATTCTATTTTTAAAAGGCTCTGAGTCATTCTATACAACCCTGAAATTACACATTACTTGATCTTGTGTTTACGTAAAATTTACCACAGAACAGTACCTGCTGAGAGGACTCCATGATTAATTCTTGGCATGCTTAAAGGGGCCAGTTCAATCCAAAGCTGCCTATTAGGGTCATAGAGAGGACACATACATCGCATTGCTGCTGTTGGTTTCCGTGAACTAAAGAAATAAATAGGTTATCAGGTAATGTGTTTTATGTAGTTCTGCTTATGATAACTATGACTGGTTTTATTGCTCTAAGAAATACTTAAGCCATTAAAAAAATCTATTGCTATTATGCTTTAGATACTGAAAAATATTATGAATTCTTGTGTACGTGGAAATCTCTCTTTATGCCACTTTTCCAACCACTGCACACCCGTACTTACACTCTTTCTTCTCCACCAACAGTCACGATGCATTCAGAGTAGCCCCGGGGCTTGAAATTGGCTAGCATTGCCTCTCCTTGCTGTGGCTGGCTCAGTGGTATGTTGCTGCACTCTTTGACAATTTCTCGTACTAATGGTTCATTCAGCATCTGTTCCCGTAAGTAGCTGGAGTCTAACCCTGAAACCCACAGTGCTGACATAACATCCTTCATGTGGACCTGTGGAGGAGGGCAGAAAGGATGGGGAGAAAAAAAATGGAAAACGCAACACACAGTTTTTAGAATATACATTTTCTGACTCATGGCAAAATATAATAAAATGGTTAATAAATTATCAACAGGTAAGTTATAAGTGCCAATATTGCTTGGCTATGCTTACTGGCTCCTTTCCTTTCTATTTCCCATAGCCTTGAAAAATAGAAGTTCAATTTAAAAAATCATCAGTACAGGTTTATATGTGATATATCTCTGCAAAGTTTCAAGTAGCTTTCTCTATGCCATAATAATAGGAAAACTTAGAAGAATTCTGCTATAATTTGCTTTATTTCACATACTTAGATGTGCTGTGAGATAAATCACATTTATAAAAACATTATATACAGTAATACCTTGATACAATAGGATAAACTAGATAATGAAAATGTGTCAACATTAATATTACAAGAAAAATATAGAAAAGTTCCAAAAAATATCCTGAGTACTATATAATCATTTGTTGAGTAATTGTTAAAAAAAATCTAACACGTATAATATGAATTACATACTTTCATACTTGATCATTAAATTTCAACCAATTGACTACAGCATTCTACATACATAAGGTGCAACTCTTTAATGACTAGTTTTTCTTGGTTTTGAAGCAGTCATTTTAAGGTAGGTATACTCTTCTATACCCTGAGTATTCAAAGCCAACAGTCTTTATAGTATCAAGTTCAGATTAAACAAAGATGAAGAACTGCCTCTTGTTTCCCCAGCAGCCACCTGAGCGTAACATCCTCATCTCTTTAAGGCAAGAAGAGGGTCAGGGAGAAGCTACTCACGGCGGTCTCAGTGAGTGGCAGCAAGCTGGAAACTGTTCTGTCACCTTTCCTCATTTACCCAACTAATGTGGAAAATGGTACTAACTATGCTGAGGCTACAAGCAGTTTCTAAATGGACATACTCATAGGCCTACAGAATTTAAAAAATTACAAGATAATCATTAAAACATAAGTCAATCATTATCAAGAACAATTAACAATGCAATTATACATTTTGAAAACTACTCTAAAACCTAATATAAGGGCCGGCCGAGTGGCTCAGTTGGTTAAGAGCTCGCTCAAGAGTTTGAGCTCTGAGCAACAGCAGTTCGAGTCCTGACCCGAGCTGAGCAGCTGCTGAGCTGCCAACAGGTGGCAGGATGGCTCAGTTAACCCCCCCCCAAAAAAAAAACCCTAATATACTTCTTATCTTGACTATGATCATTGGAGCTAGTCTCTAATTTATAAATATTGGACTTAAAGCTCCCTCCTCCAATGTATTCACAATTTGGACCTAAAGCTTGATATTCTCTACAGCCCTTCCTTCCTAGTCTGTCACTCCCAGAACCTTCCCACCTGGAACTGCATTGCCATGAAAACTCCAGAGTGCTTTCCTGCTTCCTCCCGAGTGGTGTTAAACACTCCAGGGGGAGCCCATGCCCCTCACCCCTCTGCCAGGGGTCCAAGTGCCCCTCGCCATGCTGCCTGCACCAAACTGGCTGTAGGGGTTGGCCCAGGGACATAGAGGGAAAGGATGCTGAAAGTGAGGGTGGGAATTCTGCATTTCTATAATTCTCAGCTTAAGCTTGAAATGCATTTTCCCATGAAAAACAACATACAAAGGATATTATGTTCCTTCCAAGTATTCATAATTTCACTGCTATACTGAATTACATGGGCTTTTATAGGCTGGTCTGAAAAACCAATCGCTTTAATGATCTTATAGGAAGACGCTTCACTGATTACTTTTTAGATCACAACTTTGCAAGACTTTCACATTGAAGGAGAAAGATAAAACATCTATCATTTCGATTAATAATAATTAAATCAATCAAATATGTAAAAAGGCAAAGTTAGACCATGTTATAAACTACAGATACCTTTCTTATTTCTGTATCATGTGCTATCCATCGAATTACTGCCTCAAATACATATCTTTCATTGCCAACGTTTAACTTCTCAAGAGAAATCACTTCTTTAAGCTTCTGAGGACTCAGTTCTAGAAATTCTTCTGTGCTGCTGACATCGCGGAAGTGAGTCTCCAGGTATTCCGTGGCAAGGTAATGGACATGGTGCAGGCAGTAATGAAGCGCAAAGTCACGGATCCCAATGCAGTTCTCAGCAGCAATGCAGCCTTCTAAGAACTCGCAGCACAGAGTTTTAAGATCCGTCAGCAGGAGCAGGTCCGCTGCCTGCACAACATCTTGGATGGTATCTTCGTTTAGCCGGATCTATAAGAATATCATAAATATTTTATACTTGACTATATATAGTTAAAACCCAAACCACTAATCTATTAGGCTGAACCACATGAAAACTCCATTTCTGCAGGTCCAAAGATGATGAAGTACTGGCAATTTCATATGGTTCAACATAGTAACATTTTTCAGAAGAGTTTGAGGGCTGGTTAACTTTTCCCAGGTCGTCCCTTGTTTTTCCAATTGTTAACTACAAATAACCCTCCAAGATGAATTGTCATGTTGCTCACTCCTACACTTAATTTAGAGAAAAACCTTAAATGATTGAAATACTTAGGAAATGGAAAGTTCTGTATTCTTTGGAAAACTGACAGTGATTTCTTTAAATACTAGCACCACAACTATTGAAAATCTTGCCTCCAGTTATATTAAGTTCTCTCATTTGCCAAACGGTATGTCAAGATGAATGCAACGGGGGAAGGGGGACCCACACTGCCTCAGAAGCCTCATATGAATATCAAACATCGTACTCAGTGCAATAGATACAATTTGGTCTCAAAGCTACTTTCTGGAATAAACTTCTAATATAAGATTTAAAAAAATTATTATGATCATTTACTTTTCCATAATTTCCTTCAGTTTCTGATTGATGCTTCTTCCTTCGCCTACTTCAGTTTTTCTGTACAGCAGCAAGATGATGTAAAGAAACAAGCCTCTAAAATATTGCCAAAATCACAAGCGGTCCAGACTCTCTCAAAGAATGGGCATTCATCCTCCACTTAGAAATGTGAAGGGGAGATTTCAGAGTATAAAGTACAGCAAGAAACATTTTACCACATTTTACACACTGTGTACCACAGTTACAAACAAAATGTACAACTGCCAATCACCTTAGAAACTGAGCAACAAAACTGAACAGAAGTGTATGGAGTAAGCTACAGGTACAGAGAAATTTCATATTACACAACATATTAAATTCAGCCACAAGACAGTGGATAGCTATAGACTATTCAAATGCAGGCATGTGAAAAAAACATCAAATTCCATCTCAATAAAACTAAACTGACAAATCAGGAGTTTGTTATAACTTACGTTGCAACTATGATTTAAAAACCAGAATTAATTTAAATTGGGAACAAAGTCTGTAAATAAGGTTTCAAGTTTTAAATCTAAGCCTTAACATGAAGATGCTCTTACTGGCTTATAACTTGTTGTAACTGCCACTGAATCGATTTTATAAGTAAGGTAAGAGGTTAGTCCTAAGCCTGGTTTTGTGATGCTGCAGAGTATCTCCACTATTTTAAGGGCTACCCCAAATTCATTTAAATTATTTTAAACAATCATACAGATACACGTAACCTTACATCCACACACCCATGACCTAGTGTTTAGAGAAAAGAGAAGATGACATGACATTAAACCAGAACTTCAAAAACGATGACAATCACCAAGTTTGACTCTCAACAGAATGAGTATATTTAAAGAAAGGAAGCAGTACAACTCAGAATACTTAGAAACATGTAGGAGACACAGCCCTTACAGAAAGGAAAAGCAAAAAGATGAAGAAGGAATAAAGGAGAGAGTAAGAAACAAGCTCTCAACAAGAGGAGAGATAAAATGCATTCTCACATAACCAAATGTGAGATACACTAACTTCTTCCTGTTAAAAAAAAACAAATGAGCCCTGGTTCACACCTAACATTTGTTTACGAGTCCTCATACTACACTTTAAATCACATAATATGAGGTGGAGGGGGCTGGCTGGAGGAGGGCAAAGAAAAGGAAAAAAACCTAACCCTTGATCACTTTCTTCCCTGGGTTTCATTAAATCCTCAGAAATAAAAATCGGTACAGAGAGTAAAGGGAAATCAGAAAGAAAGAATGGGGGTGGGATAAGGGATGTTGGTCCTGCTGAGGCAGCAGGGCCAAGGCATCATGAATACAATGTAGGTGCCTGTCAACTGTGTGATTCTGGGACTCTTTATTTCTACAAAATAATCCCCACTGCCCAAGGAAGCTCCCGTTTCCATGCTGTAGAGACAAAATGAGTTCCCCAACATTGTGAGTACAAAGCAAGCCTGCAACTAAGATTGAAAAACAAGACAGTGGTGAAGGAAACATCCCACACTCTTATCTCATGCTGGAAGGTGAAGCTCAAGATGATAAAATCAAAAACTGGGACTGGGTAAGATTTTACCTAGTCCGTCTTTCTATAAAGAGCAGCGCATCAGAACACACCTGGGTGCCATTAGCACAGGAGATTCTAGCCAAGCACACAGTGACAGAAGATGAAGATGAAGTGCTACGTGGTCACAGCACAGATGAAAGGAGACCCTCACCCTGAGCTTGAGAAGCCTCTACTGAGTCTTCCTTCCTTTGTGTCTCATCATACCTGCCCGCTGAAGATGTAATCCAGGATCTCTCTCATAACCATTACCGATATCCCTTCAAGTTCAATCTTATAGGTTGATCCATCATCTTTTGGAGGATTATAGTTTAACTTTGTCCTAAGAAAGGGAAAAAAATGTAAAATTTCTATGAAAGAACAGAAACAGGTATAAATATTTATGCACTAAATATTCTATAAAGTACATACTTATCAGTATATGAACCCCACCTAGAAAACTTAATTTAACTTCAGATCAATGTATTTTTTATAACTTTAAACTATTAAACATTTGTTCCAGGATTCAGAATGCTACTTCTTAAAAAATAAACCACAACAGACAACCAAAGAACTAAGATCCGTGTGAGCAAAGATCTCTACACCACCTTGAAAACCCCAGGCCTTTAGGCTTATTTTTCTGTCATGTATTTAATTATGTAATTATTTTTAGTAATGTAACAAGAACCCCCCCCCCAAACCTACCATCCAAAACAAAAGCTAGGAATTTGACAATAATCTGTTTCTAACCAAAAGTTCTCTTCACCAATCCATTCCACTGATTCCTCCATCTGAAGTAACTATTATCCTAAATCCTATATTCAATTTTCCCTTGCTTTATTATTGTATCCATTAAATATATAATATATAAAAATTTATTATTATACCCATATAATACATAATATATAATATACATAAACTATATAATATATAAATGTATATATATAATTTTAAGTTTAAAATTTTTTTTTCTTAAAGATTTTATTGGGGAATTGGGGGAGGGGAACAGCGTTGGGGAATCGGGGAAGAGGAAGGGGAACAGACAAGTTGCTGTCCTCTTGTTCTTCAGCCTACTTGTGGAGGATGTCGCTTCACTGGCCCATGTTGATATTATCATTGTGCTCTTCCCGGGTGAGGCTGTCACTCGCTGGCCACTGGACGGCCGCTGTTTTAAATTTTTTTTAAAGGTCTTAATCTAGTTGTGGAGGGCACATCTCAGTGTCCCATGTGGGGATCGAACCAGCAACCTTGGTGTTATGAGCACTGTGCTCTAACCAGCTGAGCTAACCAGCCGCCCCAGTTGTTTTTAATTTCATAAAGAGTTTCATGCTGTCTATAATCTTTTGGGGCTAACTTTTCATTTAATATTATATTGCTAAGAGTCATTCATATTGCTACACAGCTCACTAGCTCTTTTGTTCTTTCTGCTGAACTATATTCTGCTTTCCTGTTGATGGGCCTCTGGACCGTTTCCAGGTTTTTGGTACTGTGAACAGGGCTGCTATGACTATTCTTGTGTATGTCTCCTTTAGTACTATGCAGAACAAATTCCCCTTGGTTGTACCCCTGGGAGTAAAATTATGCTAAGTTATTCTCCAAAGTATGAGATGCTTCTCAATTACTCTCCAAAGTAGTTGGAGCAGTTTACTATCATCTGGTATGTGGAAGAGAATCCGTGGATCCACAAACTCTACAACATTGGAATCTGTCCTAAGTTCTGCCACTCCAGCGAGTGAAACACGGTCTCTTGCTATGTTGTAATCAGCATTTAACTCATGATTCAGGTGCTGAACATCTCTTCATATGTTTGCGGCCACATGTGTTTCCTCTTCTGTGAAACACACATGTTAACTTCAAGTCTCTTGTTCATTTTTTATTGCGTTCAATGTCCTCATATTCAGGCAGAGGATTCTTTATTACATTCTTCATATTAATCCTTGGTAGACTTGCCACTTTTTAAAGGTGATGAACAATTTGAAAAATAATTTTTCATGGTCAATGCTTTTTGTGTCTTGTTTGTATCTTACCCAAGGTCTAAAAGATATTCCTAATTTAGCAGTGAGGCAAGCTAAGACAGCCTAAATTTCATTTAAGACCCCCAAAGGATCGGAATTGGTAGTATGGGGAATCTGTGGAAGGAGGGGGTAAAAGATGAGCTAAAAACAGAAGAATGGACTGAAAAAGTCTTAAGAAACAGTTGGATTCCCAGATCCTTCCTCCACATATATACACAGCTCTCCTGCACAGTGTACTAAGGTTCTCCCCAGCTCCAGTGGAAGGTAAGTGATTTACATTCTTAAGAGTAAAAACTGAGGGTGGGTCTCTAACAGGGGCACATCATGCACATTTGAAGGTAGGTGTGCTGTACCAAAAACTGAGAGTTAAGGGAGTCTTTACAAACTGAATGTGAGACCCGTCAGTCTTTTTTCTTAATTCTGCTCTTAAAATGCTAAAAGCCACACCTATAGCCTACAGGCAAAAAACTGGAGGACTCTTCTGGAGGATTTGATGAGCCCAAAAGGAAAGACCTAACGA